GGTTTAAAGTAACTAGGTACATCTACTCAAGTACTGTACTTAAGTAAAATGTTGAGGGACCTGTACTTTACTTGAGTATTTCCAATTTTTGCTACTTTGTTCTACCCCACTACAATTCAGAGGTAAATTGTGTACTTCTACTCCACTACATTTATGTAATACCTTTAGTGACTTGCAGATTGTGTTTAATGATGTGAAATATAATCAACAATTAAACAACACTTAGTTACACCTGGAGTAAATTCACAATATACCTGCAGCATACAAAGTAACAAAATTAGCTCCACCTTAACAATATTTGATAACACTCTAATGCATCAATAATTATAATCAAAACATGCAATTTATATTATTCTGAAATGGGCCAATGTTGCTTATTAAAAAATAAACTCCCTTTTCCTTCAGAGCCTTGTTCTTCAGGGTTAACCAAGCTGAGTTAGCTAACAGGGTTAGCTTGATTTAATTGTTGATTTGGCATGAGTATGGATGTTTTCAACCCTTTAAGGTTGGTTTTAAAATGAATCTGGTCTGGATCTGTCATATCAGATATCAAACACTCACCGACTGAAGGCTTCAGAGGAGGCTGTTTCCTCTTCATGTCGGCTGCAATGCATCCGAATAACTCTTCATGGCAAGAAAATCAAACCGAAACAGCATCAAAACGTCCTGAAAAATACTCAATCACCCCTCCACACCTTCCCTGCTGGTCGTCTATATAATAAGTGTGTTGCTAATGATGATTGTTTTCACAGAATAAGGCCAAATTCACCACTTCCGTCCTCGATTCATAACGATATCCAGTGCTAGCTAACGGTTAGCTTTGGGTCTCTTTTCCATGATATAAGTCAATAACATTATTGTATACATGATCAAATCTCAGCCATCAGCGATAGTTTTATGACCGAAATATTTATAGTTAACTATTGTTAGGCTCTTTGTGTTAAGCTAGTAGAATAGTTGCTCAAAGCAAACTAGTAGGAATAAATTAGGTCTGGTGCACTTTAACTGCATCTGGATAGGACAACAAATCCAAATGACCATTTTAACATACCTGACACCTTTTACAATTCTAATCAGAAAAAAGTGTGTCTCATATATTTATAATGAGTAATGCTGTTTATGTGCAACCTAAACAATAGCCTAAATGTAGGTGTCTGTAGTTTACGAAGCCAAAAGTATGTCCCTGTCACTTTAACTTCATAGCATTTGCATAACATCCTCATTAAACTATATGACTATTTTAAAATATGTAATCTAGAGATATTTTAAAAGAAAAGGTTTATTTGTCTTTTCAAATATTAGGGGGATGTATAAATTACAGTAACTGACAGGTATAAACCTCCTTTTATAACATTTCAAGTTTTAAATAGGCCTAGTTGACTGCTATAGTGGGATATCAGCTACAATAGTTTGGTGTTAGAAAAGAGTGATGGTTGCATGTTCTTCATTCCTTAATCCATAAAGTTAGGGGACCCACCACTACTAGGCTATTTGATAAGTATGTCCTGCCTTACCAGAAAGATAGTCTTCATTGTAGTGCTTCAAATTCACTGATGGTGTACATCAAATATGGCTATCGAATCGTATTCATCACTCCCAGAAAGAACAACAGAAATAAGGCCCTGTGCTGTTTGGGAAATATGCAGTAGGACATATTTAATTCCTGTACTGTATTTATTGTGTTGAATCAACTCAATCCTTGCCACAAACAGCAAATCCCTATGATAAATCCATATTAACTACTTAGGAAATACAGGCCTACAAACCTATTTAAAGCGATATTGGAGGATCCCCCATTTTTAATTCAGAGTATGTGCTCAGGCTGTTAATCAGATTTACAATTTTTTTTTTTTTAAATCGTGCAAGTAAACACAGGCAGAAGAACGGGCCAAAGGGAAATCTAGCTCCCACCACTTTAGCTCAATATCAGTATTTCCTCTGTAATTAGTCATGTTTCTTATACACCTCCAGCTGTGCCTTAATCAAAGAATGTGTGTGGAAATATAATTAACATGTTAGCATAATGCACATAATAAAGAAGAACTTGTAGTTGTCTTGATCTCAACATCAAAGAGCATGTTGGTTCCTTCTGATGGCATGATACAAATCTAATTACTTTGGGTATTACATTACTGGGTTTTAGTGGATACTTGGAACAAATACAAAGGAATTACCCTAACTGGCCTATAGAGAATAATGTCCATTACAAAAGAGGCAGGAATGAGAAGACGGTGAATCAACATTCTCATAATATGTGGTCATCTGCTCCTCGGGTCACATCAGGAGGAATTGAGTTGTTCTAGCTTTAAAGCCCTCCAGTTGCGGTGACACAAACCTGCCTAGTGCAGACAGTCCCTTGACCTCGATATCTAAAATAGCATCCAGTCCATTACTGTGCCCTTGTCCTCTGACTAAGCTCTGAGACTCCACGGGGGTGAAGTGCAACATCTAGTTCTCATGTAGAAAGTGAACATCAGTAGTCTGAACACAGCAGCCGCAGCAAAAGCAGCAGCAATCCGGCCTAATCCAAATGAATCCGGGTCTCCCAGGTTTGTTCATCCTGGTTGGAGGATGATGACTGCTCTGCTCTGCTGGGGGGCTTATCTGCTGTCAGTGGTCGGCGGCTGTACGGTGTTATCAGGGCTCAGCCTGCACGGGGATTGGAGGGCCCATGGAAAGTAAACATAGAACCTGTCCTTTGCTTATCTGTCCCAGGAGAGAGAGAGAGAGAGAGAGAGAGAGAGAGAGAGAGAGAGAGAGAGGAGAGAGAGAGAGAGAGAGAGAGAGAGAGAGAGAGAGAGAGAGAGAGAGAGATGCACAGAGAGAGAGAGAGAGAGATGCACAGAGAGAGAGAAGAGCTTGTTTCCATGGCAACCTCCTCCTTTAACCCCCCCACCCCTCCCCTCTAGAGGAGAGCCCTGGTGGTCTTTGTGTAATGCGATTCCACTAGAATGCACTGTGGATTAGAGCTGCACTGCCTTCGGGCCCTAGGCAGGGCAACAGTGAAGACATTATTACCCAGATCAAATGCTGTAATCACTAGGCACTGGGGGCTTTCACATCCATTGCAGATAAAACCTAGGACTGGCAATGCTCAGGTGATTAGGGGATTATTATTCTGCATTTCAGCACGGTGCCAGTCCCTCGCTGTTGAAAAAAAAGAAGAAAAAACCCTGATTCGCTGTGTGAAGGATGGGGGAGGGCAGAAAACAGAAAGCAAGCCAAAAGAACCAGCCAGAATCCTTATGGACTGTGATCAATGCCTGGCAACAACAACAAAATAGCATTCACTCAGTGGTTTGCATGTGCAAGACCACATATTGGTATGACAGACCCCCTTTGATTTGCAGTAGAGTCTTTGAGTCTAACAATCCTAGCAGAAGTTTGAGCATGTTCTTACGTTTAGAGCTGCTGTAAAACACTTAAGCCACTCTAGTTTCTTTAGTCTGCAGTGTAGCTCTGCTCTAAATAAAACAAGGCAGCATGGGACAGAACCTGCTGAAAGCCCTCCATTGAGAGGTGGATCAGCGGAAGGGGAGACAATGACCCCCTCAGTGTCCAGCAATAGCCACTCAGAGGTACAACCTTTCATCTACAGATATTCGACTGTTTGATTAAGTGAGGAAGACAATTCTACTTGAGCAGGGAGCTTAAGCTACAAATGCACACAGGAAGTACACACTTCAGCAATGTGGGAAAAGAAAGACTATAGCTTTTAACAAATGAGCCCGTGAGAGCCGAGCGCGGCGGCTGGCTCCATGCTGAAAGCATCCGGCCCGGCTTTTATAATCTAACAACAACATCTCTGAAGAGGCAGCCATATGAAGGGCTCACAGCTTCACGCAGAGTCCTAGAAGAGCCTTGTTCTGGAGTGGAAGGACTGGGCCATTCACCTCATCCTGTCCAAAAGTACTCAACTACCAAAAGACCACTCAAGAGAACTCAAGAGCAGTGTTTGCGTCATATTTCTGAAGTGGCACTGCATAAAAACCTCATTGTATCACTCCGAGACGGCTGTGCGGTTTCAATGCTGTCACCATAGATGAATACCATACAGCCCTAAAAAAAGATGATGGCCGACAGTGTGACCATACTTTTTCTAGTTAAAGCCCTGCCAGAGGTCCCCAGCAGCCTCTTAACAGCCCCAAGAATGTCTTCCTCTCTTGTCTGCGGTTCTCCTGAGACTGTTGTCGAGTCCTATCTGGATGCATTTACAGCCATTTACTCATGCACTTCAGTTCACTGTCAAGGAGAGCCTGTATCTATATTAGATGCAGAAAGCGAGGGAGAGCCCTCACTAGCAGAGCCCAGGGCCATGTACTCTTTTAAGGACACGTTTCTGGTTTACAGTCAAGCCAGGAGACCTTCAGTATGTATGCAGTGTATCTCCCTCAGTTCCTGCTGCGGTCAGTCGCTACATTACCTGGTTTGCACTCCCTTTCCCACTGCAGCAAATATGTGTCTATACATCTAAATTGGCTTTACTTTAAAGGAATAGTTTGACATTTTGTGAGATAAGCTTTTTCATCTTCATTCCCAGAGTTAATTGAGAAGACTGATACTAATCTTGAGGCCCATTTACGGTAAAATGAAGCTTCAGCTATTAGCAAGTTAGCTTAGCATTAAGAGTGGAAAAAGAGGGAAACCACTAGCTTGGTTCTATCCTAAGGTTACAGTTGACCTACCTGCTACCTTAAAACTAATTAATTAGCACATAATACATTATTAAATAAAAGAATAAAGTGTGTAAAAACAACAATGTTGAGGTTTTATGCAAAGGTGTTTCTTTTAGACAGGGCAAGGCTAGCTGTTTTTTCTCCCCGTTTGATATTTATGCAAAGTTAACTGGCTGTAGCTTCATATTTAAAAGATGTGGGATAAATGTAAATCTTCTCATCTAACTTTCTCCAAGAACTGCAAATATGCTTTTTCACAAAATACCAAATTATTTCTTTCAAACGTGAAACAGTAGCAAGGCATCAGCACTATAGAAATACAGCCAAGATATATTTCTTTTATATAAAAACAGTTTATTGATTTATCAACAACTGTCAACTGTACAATCCTTAGGGATGATGACACGTGTATGCTACAGTCTAATGTGTGTTTATGCAGAGACCATTCCTGTCCATATGAAGATTGAAGTCGAACATTATGAAATACTTTAGAAAGCAAACAGAGCATACCCAAAATGTCAAATGTGGTAATGGCTTTTCCTGCCACCTTTATAAGTAACCATGTAAGTCTAGCACATCAGTCCCATAGTTGATCGAGAGAGGCAATAATTCACTCTTAGACTGATGAATAAACTTTTCTGAGGAGAAAGTCTTGTCAACAGACTGAACTCAAGTCACAGTTGCTTCTCCTTAAAACCCACGAGTCCTCCGGTTGATAGTTATCCATTTGAATGCAGCCAGTGTTTTCATTGATAGGTCTTCATTATGAAGTTGAATTTCTGCTGACCAGGGCCAAAGGGTAGACGTAACTGGAAACCATGATTTTCTCCTTCTTCCAGTCTGAAAAAAGGGCCTTTCCAGAATTCTCCACTGCTAAAATCCATGGGACAAACGTCTTTGTTACAGCAAATAGCGAAGAGAAAAACGGCATTGTCAGGGAGAAAAAAAATCCAAATTAGATTTCCGAAAAGGTCATTCTGGACAACGAACATGAAAAAAGCAGAGGAGGGAAAAAACTGAAATAGAATATCCTCTTACAAAGTCCTAATCTAATTTCCACCCCCAGAGGGGACAGAAAATCACAGAGAGAACAAGAAAGAACCATCACAAGCGTAACTGGACACCAAAATATAAATCTATAAAAGGCCTTTTATTACTCCATTATGTACACTTTTCACAGGACCTCCAAGGATAAGCTCCAGAGCGAAGCGCCGCTTCTAGTTGTGTCATGGAACTTTATCTCCACATTAAAAAGGACGAATAAAAAAAAAAATATCCAACAAACAGAATAACAGCAAGACATTATTTTCTTCTTAGTGCCTTGGGGAACTGCACTTGCTGTACAAGTGTTAGTTGCATGGGTGAGGAAGGGCAGAGCCGAAGGACACAGCATCCACCACGGCCACCAACGTTCACTTCAGTCTGGCACTGCCAAACCTCCTGCCCATCCACCCCGGGGCTGCAGGCAACATCCATGCTGTCTGTGTGAGGGAAGGTAGATGGAGGAAGAGTCTACTGTTCATCCAAAGCAGTCTGTCCTAGTAGATCACTTCATATACAGTGGCCTTCTTGTCACCAGAGCCTGTCACAATGTACTTGTCGTCTGTCGAGATGTCACAGCTCAGGACAGATGAGGATTCCTTGGACTGAAGAAGATAAAAACAAGTTAGTCTTGAGGCAGTTAACATTCTCATCTTCATTTGAAGTTAAGTGGAAAAGATTAGCTGACTACAGGGCAAGATTAGATTGCAATGATATTAAGTTCTGGCCTGATGCCCCTCAAAAAGACTTCTTTGTCGGGTCAATAATTCAGGTTCCGTTTTCACTGATAGGAGAGTCCTGTCAGACAGCGGTCACTGTGCCCTTCCTCTCAGAGACAACTGTGCATACTTTTGGACTGGCTGCAGACAGAGTGTATTGATCTGCATACCTGGAATATGCTGGCGCCATAAGGAGTCCTCCAAGCATTCAACAGATTGTCCTTCCCAGTGCTTACGAACCATTTACCTGCAAAGAAAACAACAGTGAAATCAGGTTACTTGGACTAAAAGATGGTATACAAATAAATAAAACTCAAAGAGTTGGCAGGTAGCCTTCAAAAAAACAATAGAGATAAAGACTGTTAAGGGGCACTGCAGCTTTAGTGCTGAATTAACTGAGGCCCCTTCACAGTTAGGGACAGTCAGCGTTAAGTCTCCATCAGTTTGTGTGTGTTCATACCACAGTAGGCGAACTTGAGGGACAGGACACAGCTCTCGTGCAGGTGGAGCTGGTACTTGTCAGGCTTTGAGTGGTGGAGCACCTCCACATTGCTGCTCTCCATGCCCACAGCAAGCCACTCTCCAGTTGGACAGTAGCCCAAGGAGAAGATCTGGAAACAAGACAGAACAGTAATTACTGATGGTTCTTGGGCTCAAAGGAAATTCCCCCTCACAGTAAGACTTTGGCTGTGTGTTATCCATCTCTCCTCTGTTGCATTATGTACCTGTGAAGTGAAGTCATGCTGCTGTAGCTGTCGCCCCTCCCTCAGATCCCAGGAGCGAACAGTGTTGTCAAGACCGCCTGTCCACAGCTTAGTGCCATCATGGGATATGTCAATACAGCTAGCACCATCCGTGTGACCCTGGAACTGCCTGCAATCAAAGTCAAACAGCATACAAACATTTATTGACATCCGCTCCTAAAATTGCTCAGGCAACAGCAATCCCGTTGTGGGACCAAAGCCCACACAGTGTGAAAAAGTGTTTTCTTCTGACCTAACGAGAGTCTGGTTGTGCAGGTCCCAAACAGCAATGTTTCCGTCACTGCAGCAGGAGAAGCAGACTTTGGCATCGGGGCTGATGGCCAGGGCGTAGCATGCCGGCGCTGAGGAGGTGAGCTCAGCCTTGATGCGGGGTGTCGGAGAGGCCAGATCCCAGATGGTCAATGTGCTGGCCTCGCCTCCAACAATCAATGTGCGGCCATCAGGCAGCAGCTTACAGGAGCGGATGTAGTTATCCCTGTTCTGTTGCACAGAGGACAAAGCAAATCAATACGTGTTCAGGTCAGTGGAGATAGAGAGAGGTTTAGGAACAAGTCAGTGAGAAAGAGGATGAAAATCCTTCTGTAATAATAGCAAGCCAAAGGGTATTCTCAAACCTACGCTGCTACCTTTTGAGTTTTTAGCTAGTTTTGTTATTTATTTGGTGAAGTTACCATTTCAAGCCAATTATAATTTAACTGCACATTTCATCTGATGTTAATCCTTTTCTCCTTTGGTTCATACTTGTATTTCTCACATTAAACGAAAGCTCAATCTGCATTTGTGTACCAGTGCATTTGCTGTAAAACTGTCAGGGGGTTGTGTTCCTATTGTGGTCCTTATGTATAACAAAGGATTATCCCATTGTGAGAGGAATGGTTGTTTGTTTATAGAGTTCATAACACATATACACAAACAGAACTAAGAGCAAAAAAGTAGCTGTTGAGTGAAACGTGAATCAGCAGCGGTGCTCACCAGACAGTCCAGTTGGGACACCGGGCTCTTGCTGCCAGGTTGGCTGATGTCCCAGATTTTGACACAGCCTTTGCCACCAGTGTAGACATGACGTGTGGGGTTGCTTATGGTAACGGCGCACACAACTTCGCCGTGGCTCAGTGTGTTGATCTGTCGGGCGTGCCGTGGAATACCAGGACCAATCAGGGCGTCGGGCGGGAAGGGCACGGGCTGCATCTGACCGTCTGCACTGACGTGGAAGGAGTAAGCCCTGATAGAAAAGACAAATGTTAGTCATCTATTATGATACATTACATGTTATTTAGCTGACGCTTTTAGCCAAAGTGACTTACATACACATAAATGTACACTTCAATAAATATCATTTTATGACTTTAACACAATAGGTGGGATACTTACGGTTTGCCACCAGAAATGGATGTGAGGCTGGCTGGAAGGCCGGGTCTCATGTGGCTGTGAGGATCAAACCCCTGAAAAATAACAAAATGAAAACCTTTTAAAAAAAACACGTTACTCCGTTAAATATTATCCTACAGTAAGCTTAGCTTAGCATAAATAAGCTAACTATAAAAAAACACAACTGGAAGCAGTGGGAAACAGCTTGCTTGGTTCTCTCCAAAAAGGTAAATACAATTCTTGTCAGGGTCCTACTCAAAGAAAAAGCTCCATATCGCTATATGAGGTCTAAAACTCCTCAGGGACCCTTTAAGAGACAGAAAAAATATTGATCTTTGGTTCAGAGCAAGAAAGACAATAATGTCAAACTATCCTTTTAACTATTTGCAGTCGTTTTAGGTGATACAGGTAAATAAAAGGAGAGGAAACAGTGTTACCATTGGCGAGCGTCCATAGGCTGCAGCTGCTGCAACGCTCATCTGAGGGGAGATGTGCAGACCAGCGTACACACTAGGACTGGTCAGGCCTCCATTCATTTCATGATGGCCCATCATTGCAAAGGGGGTAGGGTAAGAGCTTGCGATGGATAGAGGGGTGCGCAAAGCTGGCGCTGCTACATACAAAGACAGGAGAAGGATATTGGTATGTGACATAACAGTAGTATAGTGGGAGAGGATGGAAAAATGATCTCAGTTGCTAGCGAGGAAAAAAAAGAGTGGTACCAACCAAGAGCTTCCATGCCTGGTGGTTTGCCCAGGATGGGTCTGAGCCCAGGAGTGGAGCTGGTGCCAGGGGTGGGGGCATCATTTCGGGGGGTGGGGGTGGTGGACTTGAGGCCAGGCGTGGAGGATTTGTCATTCTGTCGAGGGAACGAAAGAGCAACCACAATCACAATCCCGAAACCAGGCACTGAGCAGACTGACAATTTGAGAGCAAACTGAACTTAATCCAATCTAATTCTGACAACCCTCATAGTCCTGCAGAGCCATAAACTGCTATTTATTCTAAAACCTATTATGGCCACAATGGAGATGGGTCCGTTTTTATCCCCTTACTGCTTTGGCTTTAATCTTTTAGAGAGGCAGAGAGGAAGAAAAAATCCTGGAGGAGTTAAATACATTGAGCTATTAACAGAGAAGACCTGACTGATCCTGATGCGGGACAATATTATCCCTGACGTTTAGTCATGCACTTAAAGCACCGACAGCCATTCCTAATCCACTGCAGAAAACGTCCCAGATTTATTTGCACATATCCCTTTGCTCTCTCTGCAATTTTCGTTTTAAACCCTTACTGTCCTAGTTTGTTGAAACTCTTGGTGTCTTACATGACTGAGCTCCTTGGCCTTAGATGACGGGGTGCTTCCAGAAGAGGCCACTGATGCCGGGCTGTTGGGGGTGTCTTTCTTTTGAGGGCGGGGCTTATCAATGCCATTTTCAGGTGGGGAGTGGGCGGGACTTGCGCGTGGAGTGGCAGGGTCCTGGAGAAAGACAGCAATAGATTTGTACGTTAATGCAACAGCTATAATACGGTACATGTCAATATTCCATTTACTATAATTGCTCTGCTCACCTCATTAGAAACATCTACCACCAGGTCGTCACTCTTCTCTCCATCACTGTCCTGTAAAGAGAATTTTTCAAATTAGTCACTTTTTTTCTCTCAATGAAACCTTTGAAATATCTCTGGCCACAGGAGGGTCAACGGAGTACTTTGAAATGCACTAATTTGCCTTCTCGCCAAGAGTTGGATGAGCCTGGAGCAGTAAAATCCTGGCGTCATGGTGATGTTGCCAGGCAACCAGCGGAGACTCCAGGAAGCCACTGTTGCCGGCCAAAAATTGTCCCAAACATAACCCCCAATAAAACCACAATAGGTTTTATCACTTTGTTTTGGTACAGAAAAACAAGATGTAAAAAAGGTGTGACATAGTGAGCCATAGAGAGCTAGTCTTTATTTTTATATCAGGGCATTCCATTTTCCACTGCCTTTCATTAATAACATGTTTTTTAATTTCTTACACTGCAAAAAATAAAAATAAGTTAAAATAGAACAAGACGGGTAGAAAATACAACAATAAGTATTTTCTACCCGTCTTGTTACATTTTAACTTATTTTTGCAGTGCAGATTTTTCTATTCTCTTGTAACAAGTACTTTGAATTTAAATGTTTTAAAGAAATTGCTACATTTGTGAGTTTGAATTTAAATGTTTTAAAGAAATTGCTACATTTGTGAGTTTTGAATGTGTATTTTCTTTATGTAAAGCTCTTTGAAATGGCTTGGTTCTGAAATGCGCTGTACAGTATAAATGTATTTGTTAAGCTATGCCTAGCAACCTGTAGGCAACTCCTGGTTGTAGCTTCATATGTAACAGACAGACATGACAAAAAGCGTGTAGGCGTATTTTCCCAAATGTCGAACACTTACATATCTGCTCATACTGTCCTTCTCCTCCACTTTGCGTTTCTTAGAGTCCAGACTGTAGTCAGAGGAGCTGCGGTGCTTTTCACTGGCTGTGCGTAAGCTTTCGGATGGGGATACAGAATTATTCTGCAAAGAGAAAATCAAACACACTTTATTACCATTTTGTCTTTCATTGTTAAAGAGAGTTGTGAGTCATTCATCCGTTACGAATTCACAAAGAACACACTGTGCCAATCCAAACACTAAAAATGGCCCCATTCACACAACAAGGGATGCTGCGGACTCTTAAAATGCAGCTGTGGGCCCGCTCCAAGCAGTGCCCTGACACCAGCCAGGCCCAATCTCTCACACAAGCCTGTCCGTGGCCAAATGACAGAATGGGCCGTTATCTGGACTGAAAGGAGGAGGGCTTGTTTTCTGAGCCGGGCTCCCTCCTCCTCATAACTGGACAACAAACAGCCTCACAGGGACATGAGCAGTGTGTTGTGGCTGAACAGAGGGCCTTTTCTCCAGAGTCAGTGAGGCTAAGCGTGAGAGGGAGAGGGGTGGAGAGACAAGGAGAGACAGAAATTGTATGTTGAGGGCATTGATTGCCGCAGCTTGGGCACCATGTCAGCTCAGGCTTTGAGCTCTGATAAAGAAAGAGAATCTATATCCTGCCAGTGGGCACGGCAGCGTGGGACTGACTGGAGCTTTTTCATGGAGCCTGCCTGCCCACACAAGCTGGGACAACTCACTCCAAACGCCAACATAATGGGAGGAACTCGGCAGGTGTCCAGCGGCTTTCACTGGAGTTTGCCATTTGCCTGCAAACTGCCAAGTTCTCCTGATTCCCTCTGTCCCTTCTTTTGAAGTCCTGAGCATCAACATGCACTAGGTCAGTGGCAGCCCAGAGAAGTGAACAATGGCCGATGGACTGGCTGTCTGGGCAAAGGGCCACTGTCTGCATAATGGCTGACCTTTAAAGAGATGCTTAGCGTGACTCATTAACCAAAGTCACCACTCTGCTATCAGATGACCTGGGACAAGAGCACAGAAACAAAACAGGCCGGCTAATCGCCCCAGGAGTTCCATTTCTTCAGACATGACTGCACCCATTCAGCGGGCCCAGCCTACAGAAACACAATCTCACAGGCACATCAGCAGCCATCAGAGATCGCAGCCATTCAAATAAAACGCTTTAGCAGGTCCAGCCAGACGGGGTGGGGAAAACAAAACAATTCTCCATTTGTGTTCATAAATATTCATCACATGCCAAGGATGAGAGTGAGCTGGTAAACAAGGGAGACAGTAGGAGGGATCAAATAAATCCTTTAAGAAGGGGAAGTCAAAGTCTTGCTTTAATTGTGATGAAATTACAAGGCTTCTAATCTCTCCAGCATGATACCAGTCATTTCCCTTCTGGATTAACACACAGGATTTATATTCCAAGCCTCATTTCCAATTAATCATTTTATTGAAAGCAGATTACAACAGTGCATGAAATCAGCAGCATCATGCTGTTGGCAGGAATGTTGTACTTGACATTTGCGGTGGAGATGGAAGGGTGATAATGAATAATAATAATAAAACAAACAAGCCCTGCAACAGGAAATAGTTTCAGGTTTGGACACTCACCGCGTTCTCTGTTTCGCAGACATTGCAATGGCGGCCGAGGAGATGAAGAAACCCCAGGGAGCAAAGAGAGAAAAACACGTCAGTTAGCATATCATAACAGACGCTTCTGGCTGAACGTGTGAGAATCAGCTGCAGGGCACAAGGCCCCTCTTATCAACGTGTGTTGGAGCTGTTGAATAGCTTATGCAGTCATGGGCTGGGAATGTATCAGCTCATTACCCAGACAGAATGTGAACAGACAGGATGTGCTGCTCACCTAAGGGCCCTACCATTCTGCTCTAGAGACTGAGAAGCACCACACTTTTTATACGATTTTTTCCCTGTTTAACATCTATGCAATAATGTTGAGATTAATATACTTTTCAATTCTTCTCAATAATGAGCAGCTAATGCCCAATTGGTTTAACTCCTCACCTCTGTGTTCCAGATCATTGTGGTTCTTCTCATCCTTCACTGGGAGGTGGGCTTGGCTGCCCAGGGCGCCCAGTGCTAGCAGGCCTGATCCTGCGCCTGTCACAGAGGGGATGCCAGGCGGCTGCAGGCCTGAGGGGTGAGGAGGCAGCTGGATGGGAGGCCCGTGGGCAGCGTGGGAGAGGTGCTGTGCCTGGAGCTGCTGCTGCTGTAGACAGGGAGATAGACAGAAACACAGTGGGTCAGGGAGAAAAGGCAAGGAGAAACCACACTTGCTAAACATGAGGCTGATCAGTTAAACCCTGGATGATATTAGCGCATTCACACATCTATTACTGTCGGGATCCAAACGCAATCCCCCTCAGTGCTATTTCAATACCAGGCCATGGTGGCATAATCCCTAGATCTGTGCCGAGGAGAGGAGAAGTTATGACTAACAATCAACTGCTCAACACGTCCATTGCATGAGCAGGGCTCGAGATACAATTACGCTGTGTTAGTAGTGCATGAGGAGGAAAAGAAATAGAACATATTTCATTCTACATTTACAACCAACTGCAAAGCAAAGTCCGATGCATCTACTGCTTAGCATAGATGAATCATTTCACATCAGGTAAACTGGTGCATTTCTTACTGCAGCGCCGCAGCACTCCTATGCCATCAGTGAGTTGAGCAATCCTCTTAAGGAACAGGAAGCTGTGTAGGAATCTGTCAGCCTGTGGGCTAAACAACTACCTGCTTTTTAAACACTTCAAAAACAAAACCAGCGTCTATTTACTCCTCTCATATTCATGTTCCTGGGTTAACAGAACATGAATCATTTGCACACCCATGCTTTAAGAGACTGAGGGAACACTAAGTGCCAGAAGCTGGCACTCCTTCCCTCTCACTCCAAGTATTTGAGTGTGTGTTTGTGTGTGTCTGGAAGGCTGCTGTGGGAGCCAGGACCAGGGGTCCCATGCTGGCACTCAGTCAACCCTCCAATATTCACCATGAATATTTGAAAGGCACGGGGAAATGGATGGGAGTTAAAAGGCACTCAGCATGGAAGTAAGCAGTTTAAAGCAAGGTTAAATAATACTTAGCTGAGACACCAATAAAAACATCAGCAATTTATTACCCGTCTACGAGCCAGCTGAATAATTTAGCTGCTGTTACAGCGCGCACCTTCTCTGTTTTACAAGACGGACTTCAATCAGTGGCCATTTATGGCCATTTCAAGAATATTAGGCACTTTGTAAATGCAGGGGAGTTGGTACAACATACGCTACAACGGGATGGACCTGCCAAACACATAGTTAAAAATACATCAACTCCGAAAGAACTTACTTTAAAATATACTTTTGAAAACAGAGATATTTAACTGTAGGTCTTACAAAGGGCACCTACTCCTAAAGCATGTCTTTATAATACTATCTGGAGGGCCTTTTTAATTGCTTCAATATTATCTGTCCTGAAGGTATAGAGAACTGGATTGGAAAACATAGTGAGGTTTTTAACTTGCAACCTCATCCTTTTCTTGAAAGGGCAGATGTCAATCCAATTACAAAATGTACCCAGGACACAAAGAGCTAGAGAGAGAGCGCGTGAGTGTGTTAGAATATTGTGTCCATGAGGGAAATTAAGGAGCCAGTTCATTGGTAGGGGAGAGCCATCCTCGCTCATTGTGTTTAATGAGGCACTGATGGGTAATATGCATGGTTGATCAGCAAGAGCCCTCATTAGAGGGCCATAAATGAAGACAATAATAAATAAAGAAAGGAGTCTGGCCTATTTCCTCTAATTTAATATTCCAAGATAAAGAGCTACTCTTTGCCCCTTTTTTCTCTGAGTAGAGCTAAAGAAAAAAAAGAAACACACACAGGCAAAATTGAGCAAATGTATTTTAGTAGTCTCTAGTGTAGAGACTACACTTACTATAGTGAGACGCATAGCACTTTGACAGAAAAGTGCCATGCAGCATGCACAAGCCCTTTAAGCCCACATGTGTGCATACACCTAAGTCAATTAACAACAGCATGGCACATACAGATATTTGGGAATGCCACTGACCATTAGCGCAGGGTAGGCAGCTTGCTGCTGCTGAAAAGGAGGACAGAAAACGGTCAGGGCAACAGCTGCACCAGACGCCCTCTCTGCATAATTATATACACTGCAATAAATAGTGTTACAGACAAAATAAATTCAACATCCTTTTATAACAAAGCCATTCTGTGTGTTTATCCAGGTGGCCACTCGCTCGGAGACAGGTGGGCTTATCTGCGCTGCTTCTTAGCTGACTTCAATATTTTCAGAGTTTTCTAATCTAACAGGCCACCAGTCAGGTTCGTCTCAACACAAGCAGCTGCCCTAGTTGCATCCTATTAATGGCCCTCAGCTCCATCAATAAGGCATGCAGCTGGCTCCTGGATGCTGCCTGTCTGCCTGGCACGCTCCTTCACCCCACCTTGCTTTACAATATGCATGAGGATTTTGGCATGCCTACAGAGCCTCTCCTCAATGAATAACTAATGGAGAGGTATTCGTAAAACATACAGTAGCTACATTTCCACCTCCTCTGACGGGAACAAGCGGCATGACTTGGGTCAAGGTCTTACAGTTTGTGTGTCCAACATTTTATAACATTTGGACTTTTAATGATATTCATCTTCAATTAAGTCCAAAGTAAAAGACTCAGGCACACATCTAAAAGTAAATAAATAATCCAGCATTATCATGTTCCAAATGTGAAAATCACAGACACAGGGAGGAGCCACAAATCAAATTAGCTTTTCTTTGGGAAAACTGCAGCTTGCAGCTGCTCCGCTTTGGTGAAAGTGAGATGAAGCATCTGCTCAACCCAGCAGATAAAAAAACAAGCAGCTATCCATCACCTCAAGACACCTAGTCGGACAAATTCTAGGGAGCAATTATCCTGGAACAAAAGGTCACCAGGGGGGCATTAATTGAATTCCAATATGTGCCTCCAGTCATCAAGTCAGCCTTTGGGGCGAGCCTAGCGCATGCTAAAGACTCTGCAAGATTCAACTGTAGTAATAAGACCACTGATAGCCTGAGCTTTGTATCGAGGGTGACACCAATCACCTCTGCTTTAGGAGGGCAGAGGTGAGCGCAGCTGATCAATGAGGGGCAGATGGTGTTTTGAAGCAGTGAGGAACACAGTACTACAGCTCAGTGCTGCGGTGTGCAAACAGACCTGCTTCGCTGTGCTGTTATGGCTGACTGCTGTCTGCACGGCCTCAGCTAGTGTGCAGCGCTGGCTGTGTTCTGCTCACCCTCAGCCTTTTAATTCCCTCAGCTAGCCAGGTCAGCATGAGGGATGAGCCTCCTCGTTAAAACCTTAGCCAATTAAAGCAATACAGGCTGCAAAGGGGATCTCAAGAGCTCTCAGGCTCGCATTTATAAACACACAACAAGGCAGCGAAGATGCCGCTGAGACCGGAGCTGGAGCAACAGAACAGCTCTCTTGAGAGCTGAACTTGTTTGAATATATTGTTGAAGAATATAGAACTAATTGGGACAAAATACATGAACACATTTGATTCAGGCAGAGTTTCTCATTCTATTCTCACAGTTTTGAACAGTTTGTGCATTAACAAGACATTAACAGAGAAAAGGCTTTTAGTCAGTGAAATGCACAGAATAAATAAATGAATAAAAAAGAGGGTATACACACGGTCAGAGGCAGATTGGGAAGTCCACGTACCCCGATGATAGCATTCAGCTCGGTCATAGTCACCTGCTTAGCCCGCTCCACTGCCTGAGCAACCTGCTGCTGGTGCTGTGGGAAGACATTTACAAAAGATGATTAGGGGGCATGCCAACATCCATCACACACCCACACTCACTTATCACAGAATGTCACACTTAATTCTCTTAGTACTGCTGTGATTCTAAAAGTCAGGGCAAACACCACACACGCAAATTGCTTTAATTTTCTTTTCAAGTAGCATCTGTATAATGCAGGCAACTATAAGTGACTTTATTTTAGTAGTAAACTGTGACACAGTTGGAGAGAGACATTCAAAACTCACCTCTTGTGACAGGAAAGGCATAATTTGAGCTAAAATTGCGTTGAGCCGTTTGGCAATCTCCGTCTGGAAAACAAAAGAGCAGCAAAATGAGACGGGAAAGTATGAAACAGACAGTGACTTCACATAACCCCGCCTTTAATGTTTACACCGATTAAGTCAATTACTGCGGCAATCAGAACTGCTTGACTCAACATCCTCTAAACAGCATGATATTGACATTTGAAATATTTAAAACATTAGGAGAGCCCAGGGGGACGGAGCACAGCTGTGCTGAGAGTGCACTCCATGCTAAACGGATATGAGCCGGCAGAGTGCTGCTGTGTTGAGAGGATCCTCACTCACTCTGCCCTGCTTCCCCTCATCTGCAACGCTGCTGTCCTGCAGTTAACCTCAGAGTTAAACCACACAACCACACCCCAGGAAGTCAGGCCCAGGAAGCATACTGCACTGTTTACTTACATGTGACAGTGTAGGCAATTAACATTAAAGGGTCGTAATGTGCAGTGAGCAAAGATTACAAACCATAAGGACCTCAAGGGTAAAACACCTCAAAGCTATAAGTAATACCATTAGAAGACAGCTACGGTAGAGTGTACTAGAGTGCTGCCTTTCCAAGACTGGAGTCTGGGCCCTTTCTCACTGCAATCAGCAGCCCAGCCCACCACCCTCCCGTCCGCCCGCGCCACCCTGCCTCCATTCTCCTGCTTGTCTACCAACTGCCATGGCAACGGCTGCAGACCTATCTTGCTGGGATCATTATGCAAATGGCACCTCTGCTTGACCGTAACAGGCTTTAAAATCATATTACGTGCTTGGAGGCAGGTCATTAAATTGAATTTTCAGCCTGTCGATCACATGAACGTAGCAAATGAATGGTGGATAAAAGGAGCAACGGGGAGGAGGTGAGCAGAGTGGGTGTGATTCATCCCCCTCCCCTGTAAAAACACTGCACAGCCAGTTTGTTCTGCATCCTTCTTCTCGTTGGAGCTCTGCACTGGGAGCAGAAACATAACAGTGCCAAAGCTACATCATCTATGGAATTTATGAGCTGCAGTTCAACCCAAGGCCACTGCGGAACACAAACACATCACATTTTCTCCTGATTTTTCATTTGGAGCGGCACACACAATGTACTTTGCAGACCGCCAGCTTATTTATTACACATGGCAGAAATGCCAGGCAGTTTTGGCAGCCAGACGTATTACCTCTGAGCAGAGCCAGAGAGATTGGAGAGTAATGTCCAACAGAACGAGACCTGCTGACCCAAGCTGCAACATGGATAGCCACTTAGCCGGGCAAGCCAGCAGGATAAACAACGAGCCGAAGATGAAATATCAGATGAGACAGAGGAAAGCCTGGGCTCACGGGCAATAATGTGAAACAAATTGATGGTAGCATGAGCTACAGAAGGTACAATAGTCCATGAGAAAACCCTGATTAGAACTTGATTACTGTGTGCATACAGGAAAAACACTGAACCCCCCCGCCTCCTCTGACACACAATTAATGTGACCTACAACCAATAAAGCAATGAGAGGGGTAGATAAGGGCTTTATCTGCATTAGTATTAACGCTATGTCGTAAGTGCTCGAGCAAGAGCTCAAGAACGCCCTCAGAAATGGTTGAAAAGCTACACAGCCTGTATAATCCATGTTTGTTGAGATAAGCCATGTCAATAGCAGTCGAACATTTGACAGGATTTTTGAAAAGGCCATGAGCGCACAGTCCATTCCTCTGTAGCTTAGTGTCATGGTGACAGCTGGCTGAGAGAGGTCAGGAGGTGCCTGATCCATCGTGCCCTAAACAACTGGCAGCCTCTGCACTCTCACAACACAACATGCAAATACAGGGAAAAGGCTCCAACTCAGCTCGCCACTGCTGTCAGAATAGATACAGTGTAGTGCCAGGAGGATTTTTTTTTTTTTTTTTTAGTCAGCCAGCAGATAAAAATGGGGCTGTTGTCACTTTAAGTAGATGACAGCTTGGCCCTTGAGAGGCCAGCTTTGCGCTGCTGCTACACAATTACAGGTACTCGGACCCGTGTAGTACCACTTTAAGAGCACTCTCAGCCTGGCTTGTCAATGGTGTGCAGAAAGGTATTCGCCTGTTGCTATCAGCAGTGGGAAAATGGAGTCGAGGCACTGATGAGTATTAAATACAGAGGGAAAACTACTGGTGGCTCTGGTCACATGATCCATCTATAAACAATACTTGACAAGTCAGATTTAGAGGGCCTCCAATTTGTCCAAGATGACAGCATTGCCCGTTTCCTGATTTTTCTAGTAGGGAGAAAATTAGAACAGCACTTCACTGGCGGCTCATCTAAGCCAGAGAATGACACATGTTTCCAGCCTTTGTTAATGTGAGTCCAGAATAAATTTCCAATTGGCATTTCAAGTTATTTGTATTGATCTGAGCCAGGCCAAAAGGATGCATGAGTCATTACTATGATTAACCTCGTCAGCCGCAGCAGTCAGTCAGGTGACAGCTGTGATCCAAAAACAATAAACTCATTCTAACAAAAACAGCATAAAACCATAACCTTATTTAATATGCCATATCTTGAAATACGATAACTTGCAGTTAATATAAGTGGACCTGACAGCCAACAGTTCACACCCCGTAATTATTACACTCCATTCCAGTCCCAAATGACAGATTGGGCATTGATGTCTTGGAGAACATTTACTCCCACCACTTTTCTCTGCACACCTCTTTTGTATGAACACTGCAGACACTACGCTGGCTGAAGTATGTTTTGGCCTTCAGTATGGCAGATAGTTTGCTACCTAGCAAATGATTCCCATTGCCATGTGTCCTCATGTCTGTATAACGACTCCAGGTACCAAATCTGATTGAGCCTTACAAACACCTAAGCCCCAAACGCCGCGCAACGCTTATAAACAAGCACCAGATGATGGTATTTACTGGCTGACATCACCCAGCAGAAATGAGCTGTTCTGCCTCCACATCGTCAGGGCTGATGGAGAGGGATCAGATAACACCGCCACATCAGTCCATCTGAGCCACGCCGGTGTGTGCATTCTGAAATCTGAATTATGTCCCTGCACGGTAATGAAAAAAGGCACAGTAAGAGGAATGGATTTCCTCACTATGGAATAAATCTCCCGGCAGGAAAATAATATGCCTATGTGCATCCAATAATCCATCTCAGCCCTGCCTGTTAACCACTCCCCATCTTCTCCTCCTCCCCTCCTGGGCTGTAAGCCGGGAAGCGGCATGGACGGGGCCCACACTGTTTGCTCACAAACACGCCGTTCAGCAGGTTAGGGCCCCACTGATGAATTATTCAAGCACTTCCATCAGCTCTGTTGAGGTTCCTGATAAAAGTCAGGCGCTAAAATGGATCAGTCGATTAACCTGTTTACACAGAGCTGGGCTCTTGCCCCTCCCCCAGCTCCATACTCCAGCTCCTTTCCGGCTCCCATCCCCCCCCTCCTCCTCTTCTCTCTGGTTGGCGATAAGTGCCTGACAGAAGCTATCAGAGCGGGCCGAGCCCTGACAGACATGAGGCACTGTGACACACGGCCGAGACACTGATAGATCACCCACCTCACCAATCCACCATGCCCCCACAACGCCATCATTAACCAGAGGCTGTCGCAGCAGAGGGGACAGCCTCACTGGTTCAACAGCTGCATGGATGGGAATCTGAGGATTACTCATTCAAACCATCTTTATCTCTGCAAGCATCAGTGACTGATCTGTGGAGCTATACAAGATAGGATCTTTCGAGGAAGATAAGGGCACAATAAGAGGCTAAAGGACTTTTGCCAATTACTGTTCATTTAAAAAAGAAATACTGACCCATCAGCAATTCTCTCTCTCTCTTTAATCATTAAGTCAAAGGCCGAGCCTGCTAAAGTCTACCTTATCAAAAGGCCAAGACAAATCCAGGCTTTAAACCACTAGCACTTTTAAAAAAAGGGCCACAATAATTCACAAAGTGGAGGTACAAGTTTCCAATTGTATTGCCTTGTTTGCGTGCAGTAGATCAGCGTGTTTACAGCCTATTAGCGATGCTCAGTCAGCTCTGTTAACAGCGGCTGCTCCTGGGTCTCACATCCCCTGACTCTGTGGAAAACCACTCAGCAGAAAGATATGAGGAACATGATGGTACATACCTGTTTGTGCATTTCTATGTTCAGCCCGTAGGACATCTCGTAATACTGAAACGAAAGCAAAGATTTAATTGATATTAATCAAGTCACATTTAGAATCATGCTGTGCCAACATTTAATTTATTTATGCAATTACTTTATACTCTTAGATGTAGCGTTTGTTTTATTTGAATGTGACTAACAGAGTGTGTATAGCCACAAATCAATAGTTTCATTAATCACACCACTAACTCCATCATCAAATGCTTTTAAACATGATTGAAACCAAAATACAATCCAACTTCTACTGGCCAGCGTGATAAACTAAGATCAGACAAAAAGGGAGTTCTTAGAGCAGCAAACAGTGAATAGCCAATAAATCGATATTTTGTTGTTTATATTGCGGGCAAAGAGAAGAAAGGGTTGGATTTATTGATCGCCATCTTGAGCCCTCAGATCTCCAGGATGTCTATTTACTTAGCGTAACGCGATTGCTCAACACTCTTGATATTTCAAGCCAGGTCAGTCTGTCTGGCTGAAATGTAATCCATGGAGCCCACAAGTGGCAGCCAGGGCAGAAATGGCTTTCCAGTCAGCGTCTATTTGATGAGGCCAATGCATTATTCAGTCCATTAGCTTCTTCGAAAATTACTCTCAAACAAGAGAGCCATTCTGTCTGAGATCAGAGCCCCACAGCCGTAGCGTAACCTGACACCCAGTGCTGGCTGTGGGATACTTCCCTACATGTTTACCTAACCTCCTCCCTGTCAGGCTGACATGTTGTTTTCCTGTGAAAAGAATGTTTAACTTAAGCCTGCATGTATTGGTTTAAGTCATCCTCAGTGTGTTTACCTGGAACAACAGAGTACACCGCCACGGAAGAACTCCTGATTGCGTCATGTCTGAGCTACATTCCTGCGTCATAGGCATGCCTATGTTTTTCTAAAGGGCTGCTAAAATGAAAGCTTATAATTGAGGCTTACAGAGAAACTAAGGTTGACTCAGTCAGTGCAAAATAAACTGCAGCAGGTTCCACGTCCTCCATTTTGTTTGCCGAGGTGCATTTTCTCACACACAGCTCTGGCCCTCTACCATCAGCTCACACCTAATTTATGGCCATGCATACGTCTGAGCGTGGAGTCTCCTAGGAGAATAATCAGATCAGCACACAGAGGGCAGCGCTGCAGCCGACCCTTGGAGATCAGGGGAGCGCTTTAATGGAGCCTCAGCCCACTGCCTGTCAGGAAGAGCTCCTCCGTAACAACCAGCTACATCAAACCCCCCCGGGGCCTTTCACAGGCCTGTACCTGACACTCAGCCCGCCCTAACCACCACGCAGGTGATCACAATAGCCTGTCTCGCTCCACCCCAACTAGATCTTCAACAAGCCTTGCAATTTGGAACCATAATTGCTCCCTTTTGTAACATAATCTTACCATGACATAGTGGCGCTGCATCTCCGTCTTCTCATTGGCCAGCTTGTCATACTCCACCTTAAGACTAAAATAGAAGACAAGGTGTCAATTTCTGACATCTGTATCACTTTACAAACTCGCACACACTTAACCACTTGGCAGCTGTGTAAAAGAAAAATAACTGCTATTTTTTTCAACCATTTAGATTTCATTTCACAACCAAATATTAGCCTTGACCTTAATTATTTAATGAAGAGGAAACGTTAACACTGTCATACTTTAGTGATATACTTTGTAATTGTTACCTGTGATACTGGGCTTGCAGAAACTGAAATTCATCTTTAATCCTGTCACAAGACTCTGCTACAGTGAATTTGAAGCCAGGCTGACCGGGCTGATGTGGAGCCTGAAAGAAAGGATGTAAAAATCACATCAGTAGAGTCACAGGAGGAAGTTTTAATCATAATTTTCTTTCATTGTGAAAGGAGAAGAATAGTCATCACATTAGACTACTTTCACGAAGATATCTCCTCTTTAGTAAGGAACTACTTCACACCTTCAGAAGCTAATAACACATTATGAATGTGTGGCTGTCACACTGAAAATGAAATCTGATCTAAAAATAATGATATAAAAAGAAAGGATTAAAGCCCCCACCTGTCCCCATATTCAGCAATCATATTATGTTAGTGTATGGCTGAGTAAATATCTCCAGGCAGGCAAACCATCTGCATCCATTTACCACTAAGTGCATATTCTGGTGTAGCATACATGCTTTGTGATATAACCATATAGATGTGATGAGCTGCATTAGGGTGGAAAACGTTTTGCAGGACACATTTCAAAAGGGGACCAGGCAGCAGCACAGCCAGGAACCATGTCAACATCAGTGTTGTCAGATAAACATGTAAGCTGTAGTAAGTATAGAGGAAGAGCTTCTTACCGGATGTCGGCCTTGTGGATACATCTTGAAATGTATCCTTTGTTTATCTCTCCAGTGTGCAGGTCCTTTGGCAAAATGGTTGAAATGTGCTCCCAGCCACACCGGTCTCAGCAGGCAGGGGTGGGGGGCAGGGGAGGTCGAGAAAATCCTGTGTTGAAAAATGACGCGGTTTAATCTTTAGACGGGGGGGGGAAACACAGTACAATGCATGTTGTTTGGTAATAAGTAGTCAAAACACTAAACTAGTTCCAGTTATTGCAGAGGCAAGTGAAAAAAGCAGCACTATTCCTTCGCTTCTGTCTTCTTCGTGACCTTATTCGGTCAGTGGTCAGCGATACACTCGATATACTAAGACAATAAATATCAATTTACAATTTAAACTGGTGCAAACACGTCATGGAGCAAAAAATACGCTACTTTTTCGCGGTTCATTTTAAATTGTTGCATCAAATACGTTTGTTTCAGATTCTAATTTTGACTGATGTTCGCCAAATGAACAAACCCCGCTGTAGGACGTCTCCAGGTCGGCCACCACCGACAGCAGCCGGCTCCCACCTACTGTGTGACTCCGCGGAAAGCGATGCAAACGCCCCAAAAAAACCACAAATAAATCAACAGCTCTGGTAAATACATACCCGTGTGTGCGTCTTTACCGTCCGTCCGACTTTTGTTCCTGAAGAAAAACCAAAGAGGCTATAATTCATGCGCTTAATCCCTCCTAATGTACGCGTGGTGGACGCGGATCTCGACAAGCATCCTCTCTCCGGAGCGCACCCAGCCGGACTGGGGGAGCAGTTTGGGAGAAAATGTGTTGCGGTCGGGCTCGATTAAAACTACTTTATTCTCAGCCGCGAAACCTCCGAGGAATGTGCGCCGTTTGTGGCTGGTTAATCCCAAAAAGAAAGAAAAAATATAGGCTTCCAAAATCTGTCTTCCGACTCGAAGAGGTTGGAGATTCTTTAAAAGCGTAACATGGTACTCTCCACAATCTCGCATTTCCCCCAGTTGTCCAGCTTACCCCGGTTGCCACACACAGGCAGCAGGGCTGAACTGCCGTGAAAGCGCCTATCTGTCCAATCGGATTACTCGGAAGGAATACGGCCACATCTGCCTATCGGAGAGCGACGGCCCCCACGTGGGGTGCAGCGATACATGACATCATCCCGCGGATCCACAAGGCATCATCCGTCCGTCCCACCATGTACAACAACAACAGCAGGCATTGATGTGCCGACGATGATATCCACATTTGACAGAGACAGCACAAATTCCACATCCGCGCTTCATTAGAGTGTTTTTTTTTTACCGCCCAAATAAAGTTGATGAATATTTGGGTGAGACCACCACCAGCGGGACGGGGGAGGGATGTGTGCGGTGCAACAAGCCTTCTTGAATTGTTATCCCCATACAAGGAAACATGAGGATATGAGCTTGTTTGTAAAACATGGTTATAAAAAGGTGAAGCTATGTTACTGTAAAACTGCCAAAGTAGCACCTTCAATCTGAAATGTGCGGGGTAAACTCCCCCCAACACACAAACACCGTGAAAGACACACTAATGACCAATCGATCGAGCTGTCCACCAAATTAAAGCCACTCGGCATACATATTTAGCCTTAAATATATCTCGTGACTCTTGCACAACCTATCAGCATTTGTGTAATAGTTGCACTGCGGGGAGAGCAGAGATGATTGCCTTTGTCTGATATGAACATCAGCCATGTCTGAGCGAAGCCCGTACGCCTTGTTTTGAAGGTTCAACCCTGCCCCCACGTGGGACTCCTCTGCGGCTTTAAGGCCTCTCAACCAATGGCAGCGCGGTGCACTTACTCGCTGGCTTCCCATTGGCTGAGCAGCATCGAGCCTGTCATTCACAGAGCAGCGTTGTCAATCAATACCACGCGGGGTCAAGCGCTGACAAATGCCTGTGCTCCTCGGTGCTCTGCCTGTGAATAGAGCCTGCAATGGCTGCTTAATTAGCTTCCAATGGCTTTTCTCTCCAGTTCAAACAATCTGTTACCACCACGTAGTAATGAGAGCCTACATTAAACAAAGGAAGAAAGGAAGCATGCAAACAGTTGTAACATTACAACCTGTAGTTTTCCTTTACATATGAGACTATATGTAAGGCACAGACAAAAGGTTTCTTGTTTACCTTTTATCACGAAGACCAATCAAACCTGTTTTAACATTAAACCTGCAGTGTTTTAATAATGACTTGCTGTATGCATGGCTTTAGTGCTTGCATAATCAAACACTAATAGGACTCTTGTCTTTTTGTTTTTAAGGAATCTACTTAAATCAGTTTTATGCTATTTCTCGCCTGTAATAACAAGCCATTTGAAATGAGGAAACACAAGCTAGATGCTTAAAAATAGCAGCCTAATTATATTATCTGGAGTCTTTTAATGCCTAAGAAACCTTCAAAGCAATCTGGACACATGTAAACCTTGAAATGTTAAACAAAACCACATTTAAATGTAAATGAGGAAGCAAATTGAGATTTTTGATATAACTGTGATCTTTAAGGCCTGTATAAAGTGACACAATCCCAAAACAACTAGCCATGATTCACACTGAGCAGAGCAGTATCTTTTTGGGAATGCTAAGGTCATTTTGTCATGTTAGGGCCTGAGATTGCCCAGCAGTGGTCTTACTTGTCATTCTTGTCAGCCACCTTGAGGATGTGGGATAACTGTGTTATTTCCAAAAGTATGGAGGCAGTCTGTGAGAAACTCAAGCACACACAAGAGCTGGCGGGCTAATCTCAGTCAGGCACCCCCTCATGCTTTTCAATAGAGAGTGCTTGGATTAAAGGCAACAAAAGCCTGGGCCAAACCCCAGGGAGAGGGGGCCCTCCGCCCACTGAGACCCCCACACTGTTTATTTACACGGAAACCCCAGCCTCAGTGAAACTCCCACCCTCAGGCATTACACACTGGCCTATTTGCCGAGGTGGCTCTAATTCTTGACAGACCAGGGATTGTCCTCACTTCTGCCGCTTTGAACTGAGGAGCCACTCACTTTTCAGATAGCTCAAATTCAGCTAGTGAGCAAATATCTTGCGTCTTCCACACAAAAGTGACTGTTGTGCTGTAAACGGTAAAAGGCTGCATGGATATCTGTGGAGAAAATGCTATAGGTGCAAATCTAATCATATTTTTGCAGCATCAAAACAAGGCAAAGATCAATTATATAATGGAAGTGTTTATCATAAACCTATATTGGATCTTTTTGGAGATTACACAGTGTTGGCTCATTAATGTGAGTTGCAGTTAATGAACCACTTGGCAATTTCTCTCTCTCATGCAGGCTCACTTTCCTGCTCATGAAGCAGAAAATGAGGGCCCTGTTACTGAAGAGCGGGGTTTGTATTGCAGTGACTTACACTTCAGGGTACTGGCATGCTGTTTACATGGAGATGCACACAGGCATACTGCACATTCACAAACAAACACACACATGCTGTGTATCGCAGACACGTTATTCGCAGGCAGGAGGCAGAATTTCCCAAACACACACTCACACACACATTCCATGAACAAAGGGCCTACAGTGTGTGCTGGTGATGAATTGCTGCTTCTGTATTATCAGGATGACTCATCTGACTGTAATCAATGAAAACAGGATGAAAGTCCTTATCAAAGTAGAAAAATGCAGACATGAAGAGCATCTCAAAACAAAAAGATGAGGTCTCTGGCAGGAATTCAGAGCTGTATTTAGCCTTTGGCTAACGAGGACATAGAGCCAGTTGGCTCTTTGAAATATATATGATCTACTATCAAGTAGGTTGAAAGGTGAAATGTTTGCAACAAGCAGTTTTCCAAAGTAATTTCCCAAAGTAATTTATTATAGTTTTTATTTCTGGAAACAAAAGGGATTAAAATACCCCTTTTAGCGTTGTATATTATTATATGATACACGTTGCACATTATTCATTTACCTCTTTTCTGGACATCAGCTCTACGCCAAATTCTTCCCAAAACATAAAATAGACCTGTGTCTCGAAAATATGCCATAAATATCTTTGAAGGGTTTTTCTTTCCAACACATATACCATGTTTCACTTACAAGCTGCTACAGTTTCAAAGTGAATTGCATTCTGCCAATCAGATAAAAACATTGTTTAAAGTCTCAACAATTATTACTGAGGACGTTATGTATTCTTAGTTCATCCTCCAAGATGTGCACATATTTACAAAGACTCTTCTGCCTTGTGGCTATATGTGATGAAACGGCACCTCAGTCAGTGCTTTAACATGCTAACATACTAACATACCAAAGTGATGATATAAAGGGCCAACTTCCAGAAAGTTGACATGACAATTAAAAACAAGTTCAGGGTGACAATAAAACTGTCTTGAGCTTTTAAGTGTGTTTGTATCCATGTTACAACATGTTCATGGCTATTAATCCTATAAACCACAGTGGGTTCATTCAGTACACTGAGTCCATACTGGTACAAATATATGCGTAAACAGTGAAACTAAACCACAGAAAGCCTCAGAAGCTGTGCCCTGAAGCAGCAGCTGATATATACACCTCGTCCTCCTCATACCGCCTCGTCGTCACGCAGAGCATTGTCTATGTTGTCACTGTTCTGTGTCCAACACACTGCAGAGCTGGAGGCCGGCCAGTTGTATTCTTATCCACTTAAATTCAGCAGCATACACTAAGAGGCGCACAGTAGCCCTCCCAAACTTCATGTTTTACTCACACCCTTCACCCTGCATAATGAAGCATCAGAATACCTGCAGTGAGAGAACTTGTTCAACAGGAAATCAGAAGAAAAACATTATATTTTCACCAAATATCTCAATATCGACATTGTGTAAGGTTGACTATTGATACTTTAACTAGTGAGCAAATATCTTTGTCTTCCACACAATGACTGTGTGGCAATAACTGTAAAAGGCTGCATGGATTTCTGTGGGGAAAATATTATTTGTACCCTTAAAATCCTATTATTGCAGCAACAAAACAAGGCAGAGATCAATGATATAACGGACTAGCTTAATATTGATATTGTGGCGATATTGTAGGGGTTGACTATTTATACTCAACCAATGAGGAGTTTGATAAATAATCAACAGTAGTGCGAATTTAAAGACTTAAAGGCAAATAAATTAACTGCTAGAACAGAAAACTACAATCAATTGACTGTGATGCAGCCTTTAACTAGAAGAAGACAACACTTTGATAATACAATATCCAAAAACTATCAAATCTAGTCTCACATCACAGTATCAATATACAATCGATATATTCCCAGGCCTAGCTGAATCCTTTCTATTTGACAACAAGTTGCAGATTACAGCTAGTTACAGGGTCACAGATAGAATGTGCATTTAATTATTCCCTGGCGACAGTCTCTGGCTATGAAAAGATTCAACATTAAACTGATCACAGGATCAAGCAGTACCAGTTGATTGAGAAGACCTTGAGCTGCTCAACACAAATTGTGTTACTATAATCCAGTTTGCTAAATGGATAATGTGATTAAAAAGATTCTTAAGGCCTAAATTCGGTTATGGTCCGTGATTACAATCACATGGCATGGGAATGACTTCACATGACTGTCTCGAAAGAAAGTATGTTGTCAAGGTAACAGCCCATGCAAGAAAAGTGCAATTTGCTACTGAGGTCAGAGTCTGTGAATTGTTTGGCTCGTGTCTCATGAGGACGAGGAGGGAACATTATATATTCACTTACATCAGGGATGTAACTGCGTGGGGGAAAAACACTGTGAGAAGAAGTGTGAAGTAGCAACTTTATAGAGGTCAATGCTAGGATCAATTTATCCCGAGTGTCATGAATATTAAGCAGAGCTCTTTAAAGCTTCATAATGACAACGTGAGGCGAGTAGTATCTGGAGAAATCTCCTCCTGAGACCAGATGCTTCTCTCCTCACTGCTTTTCTCCACTCCTGCCTCACTGAGGAGCATCTCATAATCCCTGGCACACAGTAATATAGCTCCACTCCTCCATGCCAAATTGACTCCACAAGTGCCTCTATACCTGCTGACTGACACATGCTCGCCCAAAATGACTCCTCCACCAGCAGCCAGCATCGCTGCCTGCTCTGGAGGAGTACTTGATTCCATTATTAAGTTGAAAAAGAGAGACAGAGCGAGGGGGTGGAGATGGGGAGGGGGAGGGAAAAAAGGGTTGAGTGGGTAGAGAAGAATAATAGAAAGCTGAGGAAGTTATCAGGGCAGCGGAGAGTCTGACAGCAGATCAGAGAGCTCCTCCAGCTGGAACCCCGGCTCATGAGCTGCGGT